TAATATGATTAATACAAAAATGTTAATTTCATACCAATCAATCGACCAATTATTATTGAATCTTTCCAACCCTCTCTTCAATGATATCTTTGATTTTCAAAATTTTTATCTATTTCAAGAAGCATGATACTGTACGTATATATATCTAAGCGGGAAGAGGATATATTTTTTAAGAAAAAAAATTATTTTTTTTCCTCAAATCAAAAAAAAAATTAAAAAAAAAAAAAAAAAATAATATTATATGTACACACACACACACACACGTTCTAAAAATGACAACTTCAATACATGGCCCTAGTTCTTTTGTGTTGCTTAACCAATCTCACCTCAAACCTGGTCACAGAGCCTCCCTACTCCCTTACTCTCAAACTTTAGATTTATATCTTCAAAATGCTAAAAAAACAAATGACCCTGAGCTTCAGTTTGAATTGGCTGCTTTTATCATCGAAGCTTCAAGAGTTATGGAAGAACCCTCCAAACAAAAAAAAAGAGAAGAATTGTGCAAAGAAGGAATATCCATACTAAAAAAACTTTCGGATAGAGGTCATGCAAACTCTCAATATTACCTTGCCGATTGTTATGCAAATGCTATCGGTACACCAAAAAATAAACCTGACTTTGACAAAGCTTTTCCCTTGTTTGTCCAAGCTTCTAAGCGCAATCACCCTGGGGCCGCTTATCGTGTAAGTATATGTTATGAAAATGGATGGGGTTGTCGTAAAGACAATGCTAGAGCTCTAAAATTTTTAAAGTCAGTAGATTAATTAATGAATTATTTTGATGAAATTAATTATATTAATATTGTATTATCTTTATTAATACGTAAAATGTTTGTGCCATATACATAGGAAATCGGTACCATCAGGTCATCCTGGTGCTTTGTATCGTCTAGGTATTGTTGAATTAAGAGGCGAGCTCGGCTCATCAAAAAAACCTAGAGATGGTGTAAAATGGCTTAAAAGATCAGCTGAATTGGCAAACGAAGAATTTCCACATGCTTTACATGAATTGTCTGAGCTACATGAGAAAGGTATTGAGGACATTGTATTGGTAGATATGAAATATTCTATTCAATTGTTAACACAGGCTGCAGATTTAGGCTATGCTCCATCTGCATATAAACTGGCCGAATTTTATGAGTATGGAAAAAATGGTTGTCTGCCAAATCCTGCGCTCTCAATTCACTACTACACAATTGCCGCTCAACAAAACCATTCTGAAGCTTGTCTTGCATTGACAGCTTGGTATCTTATTGGAAGTCCTGGGGTGTTGCCTCAAAGTGACAGAGAAGCGTATTTATGGGCTAAACGTGCTGCTGATCAAGGATTGGCGAAAGCTGAATATGCTGTAGGTTACTTCTCTGAAGTTGGCGTTGGGGTTAAAAAGGATCTATCACGAGCCGCTGTTTGGTATCATCGCGCTGCTGAACATGGTGATAAAAAAGCTCAACAAAGATCAAGGGCTACGCTGATTGATAACGTAAAGAAAAATAAAAAAGACAATTGTGTGGTTTCTTGATCGCCTTTTTTTTTTAAAAAAAAATTTCAATCATGTTTATTTACACACATTTATATATATTGTAGGAAAGCAAGTCAATTGTAAATTTATAAATAAATACACAACACATGCATACATATACTCTTTCTTTTTTAATAATTGTAATTATAATTGAAATAATAATAAACAAAATACACAAAATATGCAAAATATGTTTTTTTTCTTTCAATAGCTATAATGATTGTTAAAAAATACACATGCAAACAGTCAATTGAAACAATGACCTCCAGAGTTACATTATGATGATGATTATTATGATTATGATTATAATACTCCCTTTGTACTAGGTATATCATTAGTGCCAGTTATTTCAATTGCTTGACGTATAGCTACAGCGAGTGCTTTAAAAGATGATTCAGCTCTAAATAAATAAAAATAAAACAAAGTGAGAGAAAATCCATCAACTATTCATTCATAAATTCTAAAATTAAACCTGTGATGATCATTTTTCCCTTTCAACACATCAACATGCAATGTAATTCCTGCTGCTGTAGCAAAAGATGATAAAACATGAGGCAACATCTCAGTTGATAAATCTCCAATCTTTTCACGTTTCAACTCAAGATTAATATCTGCAAATGGTCTTCCTGATATATCAACAACTGCTCTAGATAATGCCTACCAAAAAAAAAAATAATAATTAACAACTTAATAATAATAATAATAACAATAAATTCTTCTTTTTTTTCTTATTATGATAAAAAAATATAGTCATTGTTACCTCGTCTAATGGTGCATATGCATATCCAAATCTTTTAATTCCTTTTGGTGCTCCCAAAGCATCTTTAAATGCCATTCCCAATGCAATAGCTGTATCCTCTGCTGTGTGGTGATCATCAATATACAAATCTCCTGTACACTTTAAACTTAAGGACCAACCAGAATGTTTAGCAAGTGCATGATACATCTAAAAAGTCATCAATAATTTATCACCTTTGTCATCATCAACATCATTAATATTTATTAGTATTTGTCATCTATATTTTATTCTTCTTACATGATCTAAAAACCCAATTCCAGAATCTATTTTAATTAATTGATCTCCAATAGAATCTAAATTTAATTCAATTGAAATATTTGTTTCATTTGTTTTACGGATAATTGTTGATGTTCGTCCATTAGTTTCAAGAAGAACATTGTTATTATTATTATTCATGATATCCGATGGAAAGATTTCGAAAAGTGGCTGGTTAATTTTTTGAACGTATAACGTGACACCCAAGAATCAAGATGGATGGAATTTTGTACAAATGGGGTGTTGATAACAAAAAGGCCGCCGATCTTTGATCTCTGAAAGATGTATTATTATGGCCCGGAAATCATTCGACATACCCCTACACTTAATTAATATGTTTTATAAAAATTCTGCCCAAATGTAGACCCAAAAAACTAAAACAATATAGGATTGATTTTTTGCATTTATTATAATTTAATTTAATCTGATCAAAAAATTCGCTCCAAATTCAAAATAGTAATGGAAAATAATAGTATTGATAAAATAATTTTAAATTGCCAATAATTCGATAATATTATATTAATTTATTTAAAAGAAATTTTATTATAGAACATAAAATAAGTTTAATTCAACTTAATTTTTCATGACACACACGCTGTAAATATTAATCATATAAAAACATCAATATTCCAATTGATAAAAATGCCATATTAAAGAATAAATTTAGAATAATCATTGAATTTTTTAAAGTAAAAAAATGTTTAGAAAAATTAAATTTTCCTAACCAATTTATACACTTCAACAAAAGACCAATTGTTTATTAAAATGGCCTCCTGTGAATTCCAAATTATCTTTGTCTCTATAATAATAAAAATAAGATTTATTACCACTAATACTATGATATACTCCACGGACGATTATCACAAAATAAATAAAACATATCTTTTCTTTATCGTTTCCTTGTCGCATGAATACCTTTGTTCCCAACTATTGTATTATATCTATTATATACAATATTCATGATGGTTATGTGTTATTATTATTTGAATATATTAATAAATTACATCGCCCAAGTAATATACTAAAACCATGAAGAGTTGAAAAATAAATAATGATTAAATCTAACATATTGAACTCGGGTGTCAGATTTAATAAAATATCCTTTCACTTCGTCCAAGCGCCTGGAGACAATTCTCCTGGCAATGAGTACTGATGCGTCCAAAAAACCTGGAAAAAGTGGGCCTATGCCTAGAACTTTGAGTTCTTTAAATTCTTCAAAGAAAACCTTCCTGAGTTACAGACCCTTCCCGCGAATCGCTAGAATGTCTTATCCGTGGCTGCAACTTGATGATGGCTGGCAACCACCATCTTTGCATCATATAAAAACTGATTGCTACACCCAATTACAAAGACGGTTGAAACCAGGTATGCAATCTTTTTTACATGAACCAGGCTTAAGTCATTTCGTCCACAAGGATGGAGTGTTGCCCTTTTTTAATTAAGGATGATTTAATATTTGTACAAAGCTTCGGGTTCAGTTTCTCCAATGTTAGAATTAAATTGAGTATTTTGGTCATCCAAACAGGTTTATTACTTTCTTTAATGGCAAATTCTTTTTCCTTATTTTTTTAAATTTGTAATTCGTTACGTGTCTGCCTTCGATTTTGCTTTCTAGCCACTAAAGAGGCAACTATTTAGAATGCCACTTTAGATAACTCCAAAATGATAAGGTATGTTGTCCTGATAACTCCATAAGGTATACTAAAAAAGATTATTACAATAAAAGTGAAATAATATATTAAAAAAAAAAATTAGCATCTAACATTTAAAGGTACACGTTGCAAATACTTGTTATTACTAATACATACAGATTATAGGTGATGATTTTTACGACGAGTGATGGGTTTTCGCCGTTCTCTTTGGGTGGATGTTGTCCAGTGATTCCTGTGTAATTTATCCATTTTTTGTACTACATAGTTACACGACGAATCAGATCAACGATTTAGTAATAATATTGAAATGTTACACTAATTTTTTATATCGTGCAATGTAGCTTTACAATACACGGCAAACATTCTGGCAATAAAAAGTAAGTGATAAACTGGATTTGAATTGGATCTGAACTTGATCTCCAATCTAGAGAGATAACAACTATATACTGGCGAAGTTTCAGAAGCAATGAGTTCTGTACAACAGTTCGTGTAACAACAAACGTTCACTATGCTATTTTGTTTGATGTAAATTTTTTTTTTTATTTGGGAATGGAAAAACAATTGCGATGTTAGCAAATTTATCATTTTGTCTGCCCCATTCTTTTACTATAAATAACAAAGGATAATTAATTAATTAATCATTATCCTATGTTAAATTACAATTAGCTTTGGTATATTATAAAAAATAAAAATTGCAATATAATTTTGCTTATCAACCACAAAAAATACAATTAATCTAATATGTGTATTTTGTTTTGATTCTTCAAAGGAAAAATTTATGACTTTTCTGATTCAGCAGCAATGAGTTTATCTCGTAAAACAATCAATTGATCAGCATCAACTTCTCGTGGCCAAAAATAAGTAACGAATCTCCATAGATTATGTTTCCACTCATCTCGTTCCCCAACAGACTTTGTAGAAAGTATCTCATCAATTTTAGATCCGATTATTTTCATGTGTTCTTTAATCAATCTGGCCTTTTCTTTTCCCTCATGTTTTATTGACTCCTAAATTTATAAAAAAATAGATATTTTAATTTGCAAAATAAACAAATAACTATTCATTATATTTTTTCCATAAAAAGTTTTTTAATAAAATAATCAGAATCATAAAATTACTTTTTTTAGCCATTGGAGACTATCTTTGACTGAGCGCAGCAACTCTTTGCATACAAGGTTTATTTTCACTTCTTCATCGTTTGCATCATTTTGGGCCTCGATATTTTTATTATAAATATAAAAATATTATTACTTTTTACTGAACAAATTAAGTTTATAAATAAATTTAATAAACACCCTCACCTTTTGTTGATTTTCTTCAACCCACTCTCTGATCACTTTCAATAAATATTCTGTTCTACGAGCTACCTTTGCTATATTGGAGGCTCGTAGAGTGGCATCATCCTTATCAACAGAAAGTTTTTCTTGAAGTCCCAAATCTGGATCTTCACGAATAGTTTGCCAGTTTCCGTATCCATGTTTATGTATGCCTGAGATAATTAAGGAATCTTCCTCTTGACCCCATTCTGTGAACCAACTACCTACAGGCTTTGGGGAAAAACTGATTGTAAAGCGTGATGGGTCATTTATTGCTTCAAGACTGTTAACTGCTCTGAGGTCAATAATTCTTTGTATAAACGAGCCAGCATTAATTTTCTCAATTCCTCTATAAGAAGTCATGATCGCTCTCCCACGAGAGTTTGAATGCGAGTCATTCAAATCTTCGTGAGATCTTATTGCAGATTCACAAGTATCAAATAGCTCGTTATATATCCTTATCAAATTTTCTTTACTTTTTCCTGTCAATTTGGCATCTGCAACTATGTCATCATAACGTTGATTTATATCACCAAATTTCATTACTGCTCTAATTAGTGCTCTAATTTCTTTTAGACTTAACTCCTTGCCTGAACTGGACGAGACACGTTTTATGGAAGATTGGTTACTGTCAGATTCATCAACATCTGATTGTGATCTTGATTTTTCTGCATCATTTGCACCTAGAAAAAAATTGTTAAACAACTTGACTTTTCAAAAAAAAAAGTTTATTCCAAAAATTTGTAAATTTAAGTGCATCATTACCTTTTTTGTTGTTAGTTTTTTTAGTTGTTTTTGGATGTTTATCACTACATTCTGAACCAAGGTAATCATCAGAAACAAAACTTGAACTTGCGCTTGTATCTGAATCACCGAGTTTTTGACGCTTGGTTTTTTGCTTCTTTGATCCGTCATTCTTATGAGCAGGTTTTTTTTTATGATTTGAACCAGCCTTTTTCCTCGAGTTATTTGAATAATCACTTTCAGATTCAGATTCAGATTTTATATTATTGTTATTACTATTATCACTCCTTCGTTTCATTCCCAATTTATATTGCTCTTCTTCTTCTTCAATTGAAATAGAAGATTGCTGACTTGATGAAAGTTTATATATTTCGTCTTTTGGAATTATTTCATCCCAGCTTAAATCCCCACCACCAAAATCTGCAACTTGAAATTGTTTTAGGAACTCTTCGCCACCAAAGCTACTACTACCCTGATCCCCAATAGTGTCATGAGTTTCAGCACGCGCAAGTATGTCATCAAGATCTATATCATCAAGCTTTTTAGTGTTATCACTTTCTTTGAACATATTTTGAGCACCAAATTTTAATATTGCCGATAATTCTTCACGACTAAAATTGTCTGATGCTTTAGTGGCAGTCTTGGTATTTCTCTGCAAAATGCTTTTACCAGACGTGTCCATTTGTTTGATAATACAATACTCCAAAACCATCTTACGCTTTGCACGTTCAAGGATGCTTTCTTCCATAGTATCTTTTGTCACAAATCGATAAACATTTACATGATTTTTTTGACCAATTCGATGTGCTCTTGCCATTGCTTGGAGATCATTTTGTGGGTTCCAATCTGAGTCAAATATGATTACTGTATCGGCTGTATTGAGATTAATACCTAATCCTCCAGCTCTAGTTGATAAAAGAAAGACAAAATCCGCTGAATCTGTTGCATTAAAATGTTCAATTGCTTTTTTGCGAGCTTCAGAAGGAACGCCGCCATCTAAACGTTGATGTTGATATCCACGTAACCTCAAATAATCTGTCAAGATATCTAACAAACGGACCATCTGAGAAAATATAAGAACACGATGATTAGATTCCTTTAATCTGGTGAGCAATTTGTCTAGTAACACCATTTTCCCACTACTCATGATTAAACCTCGTAGTTGATCTTCTCTAGTATTGGTTGGAGATTCAGCATTAGGAAATAAGAATGGATGATTACTAGCTTTTTTCAATTCAATAGCAATATTTAATAAACTCATTTGTGAAGAGCCGGTAACACCTTCATTAAGTACATTAAAATTTTTGGTAAGAATATTTTTATAATAATGCGTTTGTAATGGTGAGAGACCAACTCTAAGTATTCTTTCAGTCTTTTGTGGAAGTGATTTTTCTACATCTTTCTTTAGTCGCCTAAGCATATGGGGTTCAAGACTTTTATGAAGTTCACGAATTTTTATTTCCTGTTCCTCATCAGGTGCATCAATGTCAATGTCAGAAGCGATTAAAAAATTAGGCATAAGAAAATTAACCAATGCACATAATTCTTTAACTGAATTCTGCAATGGTGTGCCTGTTATTAAAAGTCGATTAGATGTATGAAAAGTAGACAATACTTCATGGAGTTGTGATTCGCTGTTTTTCAATCGATGCGCTTCATCAACTGCCAAATATTGCCATTTAATATTTCCTAGTTCTTTACGATCCTTAAGAATGAATTCATAAGTTGTCACCAAGGCATTGAATTTTAATTTTTTTGATGATGAATATGGAACAAAAAATTCATGTTCTCTTATTACTTCACGACTTTGAGAAGGTCCAGTATAATAGATGACATTAAGATCAGGTGCCCAAATTTGAAATTCATTTTGCCAAGAGCCAATTGTTGATAGTGGAACCACTATCAAATAAGGACCATACTGATGCAAAGAATGATACAGATAAGATAAGAAGGAGATTGCTTGGACTGTTTTCCCTAAACCCATTTCATCAGCCAGAATACCATTTTCATTACGAGCCCATAAATGAGCAAGCCAGTTTAGACCAGTAAGTTGAAAATCTCTTAATTCGCCACCACTCAAGTAAGAAGGTTGTTGTGTCATTGGTTTAAAGTTTGGCCTATGTTTTGACAAAAGGCTGCTTTTATGAGGGATACGTTGGTTGACATTACGATGATTATATGCGACAATTTCAGATCGAAATTCGTTTTGAATGAGGTTAACTGGTTCCCAAGTACAATCCTGATATGGCAAACGTTTGAATTTGCATAAATATTCAACTCCAGGACGGTTATCTTCAATACGAGGTGCAATTCTTTTAGATATGGGAAGCCGATGACCCTTCCTCTGAATCTTTATATGACAGAAAAGTCATGTTATCAGATTATGTTGTAGCTTTGGTCGTTGGTTTGGCAGGTCTTATTGCCATCTTTTTCGCCGCTAGAAGAATCGATAACAGGTTCGGCAATATGGTGAGGAGATTGAGGAGGGCATCTGAAGAATCACTATACATTAACCGCCTCAGCTGGACAACATACATCTTGAGTTTTATCCTTACTGCTTACATAAATGCCACATTTCTTGCCGTGGTTGCAAATATAGCTTTTGGCTTGGGCAAACTGTGGTCAATCGTTGGAATATTCCATAATATTATGGAAGTTTGTTTATTGGCAGCATTATTACAAACTGGCAGAAAACAATTCAATTTCGCTATTGCCCTCCTTGTCGTAGTAACATATGGAGTACTCGCCACAGCGGGCACCAGTCAGCTAGAATGGTATTATGATAGTTTGTTCTTCAAGACCCAAGGCAAGTTTATATATGCATTGTTAACTCATTTTTATGAGTTGTTAATCAATCATTAACCTGAGTACTGAACTATTACCTCTTTAACAGGCTTGGTATGGGACTTTATGTTGCCTCTCGTCTTCTTCCGTGTTGCAGTATATGCCAAGAATCATCCTCCTAATCAAGGCAATCCAGAAAGTGCACCACTCTTACCTAATAATAATAATAATAATACTGTTGGTACACGCAGTTTCAACCCTCCAAAGCAGTTAGGATACTTGGTTTTTGCCTCTTTGGTGCATCTCCTCGGAAATATAGCTAATATTGTTGGCGATAATTCTACAGAATCGTATGCATGCATTTTTGATCGCTTTTATTATTCTCTTTATCGCCTTTATTCTTGGCTTAAATTCTCATTTTATAAATAACTATTTTAGGTTACTTTTATTCAACTTGTCGTATTTGATCGCCTTTCCAATATACGCCATTTACGTGCATAATGAATCAAATATTGATCAAGCGGATGCACAAAAGGTATTCGATGTTCCTGACACATCGGTCTATGAATTTATTTTGATCTTTTTGTGGGGTGCTACTTCTAGTTTAATTTCAGCTTTTATTGGAGTAAAAAATATGAATTAAAGGAGGAAAAATTCAATTAATTTCGATTTGAACGTGTATCTTATAAATTTTTTTTTTATTAATCTGTTATATAATATTTTTACTTTTATATTATATTATATATAAATAAAATTATGTACATTTGTTTATTGGTTTTACAAATAATTTTTTTGTCTATGAAATTAAACGAAAATATCTTTGTAAAAGAATTTACCGCTCAAATTCTGTATATGATGCTTTACATCATTAATGCATATTGCATCTCAAAAAGATTATGTTTTAAAAAATATTTCCGTTTGATTCCTTAAAAATTATTTTTTTATTTATTTTTTTTTTTTTTTATCATTGTAACCGAGCCTAATACATAATAGAAAATGGAAGGATTTGATTGATATCTTTGAAATGCCCTCCTCCACCCATGTTTTTTTTATAATTGTTTTTAATTATGATCAAAATGAATACATACTTGTTTCGAATTTTTCAAAGGCTTTACCATCAATCAAAATTTCTATAACTCATTCTTTTTCGTGATATAAAAATCTACTATGCCATACCTGTGGAGGCAAAAATAGATGTTTCATACAATAATAATTAAAAAATACATTACCAGCATCTATCTTTTTATCAAACTCTAAAACTAATGATAGTCATTCCAGAAAAAAAAATATGTCAATAAAAATAAAAATAAAATTTTTTTTTCCAATTAACCGTACGTGTGTGTGCAAGTAATACCAGAAACTTGCGGGATTACTTACTCTTATACATAAAATAAAAAATATTTCTTGATTATCGACTTGAAGTTTTAAATTGGTAGATTAAAAATTCACTAGTATTACAAGTTAAATATTGAAGATGGATGAAGACAGTGTTGACGCTGGTAATATGTTGATGAAGTTAGAGTGATTGAATTCGTCTGGGGTCTATAATAATTGTAAATTTTATATAATTGGTGTTTTATATTAATGTTAATGTTCATTTAATTAACTTTATTATTATGAACTTTCTCTTCTCAGGAAAATCGGATGAAACTCTTAAAAAAATAAAAAAAGGATGCTGATACATTGTTGAATGGATTTTATACAATTCACCCAAAAGCAATTTCTCTTTACTATTACCACTTGCAAAAAAAAATTTATCCGCCACAACGTTTCGCATTTTAATTTTGCTCTCAAAAATTCAGATTACCAAAAGTTCATGAGCAAACCTTTTCGATATGAAATTTGCAACGAAATTCCATCTTCTCGATCCTGTTATTGACGAATGGCATGTAGACATAAAATTATCCGATCTACCAAGCTCTTTTGATAAATCTTTTCGATAAATCGCAAACGAATTCTATGGTCCAGGTATAGTTTTTTGTTCGTGTTTTGTTTTGTCGAGGGTAATAATAGCTCGTTAACTGTCGAGGATGTTTCATTTAGATTATTTGAAATCTGATACGATATTAATATATTACTTTATTTGTATCGAAGAATATTTTTCACCTGCATATAAAATAAATTAACCTCTAAAAATAAATCTTGCCAATTTTTTAAAATCAAACAGAGCCATCATATTTACCTGCTTCCAGTGGCACGACGATATCATGAGACAAAAAACTTACATGGATCTTTGCTCGTCGCCAAAATTTATCAAAAAAAAATTTACATTTGATCCATTCACAGTTGTTGCA